ACAAACGCGATGTGTTGTATTTGAAACAAACTATCTCTCTCTCTCTCTCTCTCTCTCTCTCTCTCTCTATATATATATATATATATATATATATGGAAATGTTCAAATGAGAAGAGCTTCATTTTATGGGAATGCGATAACACCTTTTTACTATAGCACATGTGATATTATTATTTCATCACATATGATACACATGTGATACTAAATCAGATACGCGGGCGATTTTTGATGTGATCTTGGTTGCGGGACAAGTCGCCCTTACACCACTAAGCCCCCTCACAAGTATTATCACGTATGATAAATGTGTTGTTGATATGATACTATAATCCATCAAAACCATCACATGCGATGCTAAATCATAGACGCATACAACCTTTGGCGTGACCTAAGTCGTAGAACACGTCGTCTGCACATCACAAGGTATTCTCACGCGTATTATCACATGTAATAATGATGTTCTCGTGTTCTCGTAAAATGGAAGTGTTCTCATTTAAACATCCATATATATATATATATATATATATATATGTGTGTGTGTGTGTGTGTGTGTGTGTGTATGTATGTATGTATGTATGTATGTATATGAAAAAGTGCATTTGCAAAATCGATGATGATCGATATTCAAAATTCATGAGTTAATTTTCTAATAGGTGTCATTTTTCGTGATGTGAAATGGTTAAACCTCATAAATGAAGCATATAAAAATTATCGATGTTACCAACTAAAGCACAATATTTTATAAGAATGAATAAATGATATATGCAAGTCGTGTCTGGATCCACATAATGGTTTTATGGATGATATGTTCGAAATTTCGTTATCTTTTTTGTCTGTATATCCGTATATTCGACCATTGCGCATGCGTCTATGATTTATATTATTTAAAAATTCTAAAATACCATATTCAAATGGTCGACATATTATACCAGTATATTGTTGATAATTTATAATACAATGCCTCAAATAAAAGGATGGTTTCCATTGTTGTCAACACAAACCTATTTGTCATCGTTCGTTTTATATCGATGAAAAGTAAGATCTGTGAGCCTATGAACTCTTTTAAGTGGAAAGGGATCGTTACAATCCATTTCCCCCTAAACCTTGCTTCCGTTCTTTGGTCTTATCAAAACAATAAGACCCATATGTTTAAAGTCCAAATGTTTCAAATTCTAAGGTTCTCTCAGTTGATGTTTTGGATTACTGATTGTTCTTAGTTGTAGACACTGACAATCACAACAACAAAAGGCAAGAATAACTAGAGTTTTCGTATATTAATTAGGGCTTCTGGATCTGTTTCTTTTGGATAAATTGGTGATTTTGATCAAAATACCCTCACATGAACGACACTGGAAACCACTTACCTGTAGAAACTTAATGGTTGTTAATGAATTAGACCGAATAAGATACAAAAACCGTTACAAATACAAACCATATGAAGAGTGTATGTTGTACTTTTCAAAATTGATGAAGTGATGAAAACTAGAGTTTTTATAACTACTTGGAAGAGTTTTATAATTTAATGAATTTTAATATGAAAAATACAATATTTATGCACAGTGAAATTAAAAAATATGTTTAAATATGCATTACACAGTTAATCTATCAATTTTCTAATAATACATATATAAGTACATCGTTAATTTATATATTAGAATTTCTGGGTGTTTTGATTGCTTGGATTACTGAAAGTTGTGATTCACTTTTAGATTGAAATATTTCGATGGTACGTACAATCAAAACTTCAATTCGGATAAAATTCAATAATTCGAACAGAGAAACGATGTTATGAATCTATCTGTACCCTCGAAAATCAAATGACCAATATCAAAAAGAATTCGAAAGCCGTCAAACGGCAGTTTCAGAACCACCAAACCGGATTTAAAAAACAGGATTCAAAATCACAAATTCGAGTTTAGAAAACAGTGCTCTGCCCCTTGGACCCCGCTAGGGGTTGCCACCCCTTGGACCTTGCTACCAGAGTACCAGGGGCTCTTCCCCCGGACTCCCCGTTTAGGGGCTTCATCCCTAAATAACGGTATACTTTAAATCGAAATAAACTCAAACAAATGTGCACTCTACACCACCCTTACTTGTTCAATATTTATCTAGATTACATTGATCAAACAAATTAATCTCATTACACTTAAATTATAATATATATATATATATATATATATATATTTATTTATTTATTTATTTGTATGTTAAAAAATAGGGCAAAATGCACAAAATAGCAATTTACTTTCATAAATTTCTTTATTATAGCATTGTACTTTCAGTTTTTCTTATTACAACAATGTACTTTCAAACTATTTTTTATTAGGACATTGTACTTTAAAAAATTTACCCATTATAGTATTGGGTAACCTTTTTATTTTAATTTACCCATTATACAGGTTTTCATGTCACCTCATTGTCCATGTAGGTTGTCCACATGTACTATAGTGATGTGACTTTCTTATTACATCATTGTACTTTCAAAATTATTTTATTATAGCATCTACTAGTTCTTATCAAACATTGTATTTTTAATTTTAATATTTAGATATTTTACATGTTATTTAATAAATGTATTAAATGAATTAAAAAATTCTAAATTGTTCATTAATATACCAATATCAATAAAACTAGTAGAACACAACTTATCCCGATAACATTTTTTTTTTAAAATATGTGTTTTTTGAAAAAAAGAAAATAAGAATTGTTCATTTTTTACCAAAAATATTATTATATTTTAAAAAAAAATTTACTTGATGTATAAATATATTAAATTAATTAGACTTTTTTTGAATTATTTATTAATATAACAATATTAAAAAATTGTAGATAATAATTTATTTCGTTAATATTTTAAAGAGAGATTTAAAAGACGTGTATTTATTTGAACAACATAAAATATGAAAATTTATTTTTTTTACAAACAAAATATATCTCGAAAATAATGTTTTATATTTATTTAATAAATATTTTACTCTAAAAATATTTAATTTGAATGCAACTTAATATGAAAAAGTAAAAAAAATTAATTTTTTTTAGATCATAGCAATGAAAAATGAAAATCACTAATAATAATTTGAAATAAGTTTTTATTTTAATTTTAGTTAAGTCATCAAAATGATGTGGCATCCACATCACCTCATTAAAGCCACACAAGCAAAAAAGTCAAAGGGTTAACCAGTTTAAAAGGTAACAGGTTACCCATTGCTATTATGGGTAGATTTTTTAAAGTACAATGTCTTAATAAAAAATAATTTGAAAGTACATTGTTGTAATAAAGAAAAACAAAAGTAGAATGCTATAATAAGAAATTTTATGAAAGTAGGTTGCTATTTCATGCATTTAACCCTAAAAAATATTACTTATAAAAAATTTATTGTACCAAGGTAATATTGTGTATATTTGAGAGCATAAATTATGGCTTCGAATGTATTTACGATAATTAAATTTTCAAATTACAAATATATTTTATTTAATATTTGATTGTAGTTGCAAAAATATGATATACTTTTTACCCTTCAATTCCAAACAAAAATCACGAGCTTATGATTCTTCTTCGTCAGTGCTCTCGTGTTACCATTGTCTAGTCTCCCATATCCTTCCCTTTTACTAATTTGCCCTTTCCTACTCCTTTCTGTAATTTTAATTATCAACCAACTATTATTATTTAATTAAACTAATATATATATATATATATATATATATGGGAAATAATTAAATGATAATAATGTAAAACAAAACGATCCTCTTATTCGAAATGATTGTGATGTTAATAAACTTAAACGAAAATATTTCAAACGTCAGTTATCATATTTCAAAATGCTTCATGCCCACAAACTAATATCGTAATTTAGCAGTGAGGATATTGTCATATCTTGAGCTGATTTCTTGACCATGTATTAAACGACGTATATTGAACTGTCGATTTTGATAAAGAGGTCAAGAAACAATTTGTCACGTTAGTGTCGTGGTCCTCTTTAATATCCTAACGTTGATGCAATTGAAGTAATGCGTCTTTATGAATATATACATTTTATACCGTATCGTTCTTCAAAAAGGTTTAAAAAACGGATCTTTCATTCTTCAATTAATGACACATTCAAATACAAATTTAGTTCAAAAGAGGAGTAGCTAAACAAGCAAATTAAGCTTGATGGTTCATCATTTTTGTATGTTTCTTGGAATTTCAATATAAACAAGCGTTGAATTATTATTATTTTTTGATTAACCTGGATATCCAACCCACTATGCGAGCCAACTAATCCCTGCAGATAGTCCGGAGTTACCGCATTCAGGGATGAACCTACTTTGGTGGTTACGGTGGCACGTGCCACCGTATTATTCCTCTGTCAAAGAGTAAAAAATTTTAGGTTCGTGAAAAGTGCAACCGTATTAATCTGTTGTGTGTCATCGTATGTATTTTGAAACTATAGTGAAAACAAGTTTTATTTGATAGAGTTGGTTTGCAATGTTTTTATTCCACCCTAGACCCATATATATTCGAATCATGTTAGCGTCATTTTCTTAGTCAAATGGTACCACCGATTGAAAAAAATTCCGTATATTTATTTCTTATAGTCAAATGGTGTCACCATTTAAAATCTTTTCTCTATAGTTTTTTCTTATAGTCAAATGGTGTCACCGTTTGAAATCTTTTCTCTATATTTTTTCCTTACAGTCAAATGGTGTCACCGTTTGAACAAATTTCTAGGTCCGTCCCTGACCGCATTTGAACCTACGTGGCCACAAGAGGATTTTTATTTTTTTTGATTTAAAGCTGGGACCTCTTGGTATTAATTTGAAGAATTAGTGTATAGAAGTTGTAAGAATTAGAAGAGTAATTAATAGATAAGGTGAGGGGGTATTTGGTATTTTTGTTCAAAGAAAGAGAGCATAATTAGAGTGTCATGTGTGTTGAGGACTGATCAGTAGCAAACAAGCTGCTAGAGGATCATTGATTTGAGAGCTCATCCTCTCTTTATAAGCTTCAGAGGTCTGCAGATTCATATCCAAAGGAGGAAACAAGAGAGAGAGAGAGAGAGAGAGAGAGAGAGGGAGAGAGAGATCTAGAGAGAGAGAGAGAGGTGAAATAGTTAAGAAGCAACAACTGAACATGGTGTCAAGGGAGCACAAGAAAGCCACACTGCATGAGAAGCTGCAGCTTCTTCGTTCTATCACAAACTCTCATGCAGTAATTCTCTGATTGATTCATTTCATTGGCTTAATTTCTTCTTCTTCAATCATCTGCAAAACAAGTTAACTTCTTGAAAGATTTCCTTTGTTTTCCCTGTTAAATTTTGATCAATTCTTCTTCATTCATCTCTCTCTCTCTCTCTCTCTCTCTCTCTCTCTATATATATATATATATATATATATATATATGATCTGAATCCATTCAGTCCTGATTAGTTATACCCTGAAGTTGGATTCTTTTTGTTAAAACCCTATAACTTATAGGTCTTAATTACTTTATCCATGGAACAATAAATCATTATAACCTGAATTTCTTGTATATTAATTAGTTATGAGTTTTTACAAATAATTGTTGCAGAATAATGATTCATCGATCATTCGAGATGCATCCAAGTACATTCAAGAGCTCAAACACAAAGTACAAATACTGAATCAAGACATAGCAAGTGGACAAAGTACTTCAAGCTACCAGAATTCGTGGCCGATGGTATGTACATACACCATGTTTGTGTGTGTGTGTATATATATATAATATCATATATATACATATATTTTATTAGTTAATGGTTTTCAATCGGTTTGTCCCTATCAATATTCTATGAGAATGACCCCTAAAATAAAGATTCGAAATGGAAGAACAAAGTAGGTAAAAAATGAAACCTAATATTTAATTACTTGTTTATTTTTTTCTTCTTTTTGGTTAAGACCTGGGAACCTAATAATTAATTAAACCCAAGTGTCATTAAGATTCAAAGTCTGCTTAATGAATGAATGATTGTGTTGCAGGTAACCGTTGAAGCCCTAGAAAAGGGTATACAAGTAAATCTGTACTCAGAAAGGAGCTGTCCAGGTCTACTAGTTTTTGTATGGAAGGTTTTTGAAGAACTGGGTCTTAATGTGTTGGAAGCTAGAGTTTCTTGTACAGGCAGCTTTCAGCTAGAAGCACTTGGAGTTGAGGTAAATCTATATATATATATATATAGATATATATATATATGTATGTATGTATGTATGTATGTATGTATGTATATTGCTAATTATGATTATACCCTTTTGGTTCTAACAAGATACAAATCAAAAAAATTAACATCTTAAGGATTAATGAATGAATGCATGCAAGTTCGGTCGATTTTTTATGCATGAACTTGAATCTTTAATTACAGTACTTCTTGATAAGTTTCAACTATGGAGTTTCAAGCTAATTGATTCCTCCAATTATTGTCCTTTAAGTGCATCATATCTCCGATTATTGTTCTCGTAAAATAAAGGTGTTCTCGTTTGAACCTCCGTCTATATATATATGATTGTGTTCGTATATGTTCGCATTGAACTGAGAAAGACTGGTTTTTGCAGCGTCAAGAAAATGGAGAAACCATAGATGTTCAAATGGTGAAACAAGCAATCTTGCATGCAATCGAAAACTGGAGTCAAAACAATGATCATCAAGACTCATGAGATCATGAATCATCTGGTTAAGTTTGCACTAATTTCCTGAATCTTGTTCTTTTCTTTAGCTTGCAAAAACCTGGAAGATCCAACGGTATTCAAATTTCAAGCAATATATAGAACCCCAAAACCCTATCAATTAATAAGCTTGGAATTAGTTAACCTAGTCATCATTTGAATAGGTTAACACTAAGATATTGGGTTTGCTTCCTATAAGTTATAAGAGGTATTGATTGACTATTAACTTTAAAGAGCCATGAGATCAATTGAGGTGCGCGCAAGCAGCTGGTCTGGACCCGTCACGGCTATTAAAAAAGCTTCTAGCTTAGATAGCTAGGTTTGGTTGAATTAATTTCCCTATGTTCATAAACAAATGTACCCTTTCGGATTTAGATATTAAAAAAGCTTCTAAACTACATTGTCTATGCACATACACTCGTTTAAACACGTATACACACATGCATATATATATATATATATAGTCAGGGCAGAGTGGCATATGTGGTGCAATTTCTCATGATTAGCAACCTTAATGAATCCAAATGAATACAGGTGACATACATAGTCTTTCTTTGTACGGGTTACATTTTTGTGGATTCTTTTGATAATATGTGGGGATCCAAATCATTATTGATCTGGATTCTTTTAGTAAATATGTGGGGATCCAAATCATTTTCGGGATCGAGCTAACCGCAATACCATGTTATGTAATATCTACACCTTTTGGTTTGTTTATGATAATTTATCAAGAAATACATAAATTCTAATCATGGTCATTTTTTATTGAATTACTCCATCAATTGATTTAAGAATTAATAATAATAAATAATAGATATTATAACAAAATTAAAGACTCGAACCGATGTTAATCGGGCTGGGCCGTATGGGCTTTTAAACTATTAAAAGGCAAAGAATTGAAATGAAGGCCCAAGATAAGTGAGAAAGTTACTTGCATCTTTTTCTTTTAAGTATTTGTATAATTATACTAGAAAGTTACTCGTGCAATGTATTGAGACATATCTTGAATTCAATATTTTGTTTTATTCTTTTTTTATATGGATATAATACGATTTTATATGATTTTGAGAAAACAATAATATTTTTATTTTTGAATAAAATATAAATTCAAAATAATCATAAAAATTTTGGGGGGAAATATCGATATTAAAATCGAATGAAATATTTAAAAGTTATTGTTTTTTTTTTTTTGTAATTTTTTTAATTCAATTTTTTATTATAGTTTAATTTAGGTTTAGTAACAAAGTAATTTAATTAATGTTTAATAATATAATTTTTTATAAAGATAATAATTAAGTATTCTGTTAAGACTCAATGAAGTTTTAATAAGTTGTATTTACGCACAATTTACGTGTATTCTTGAATTATAAGTAATATGCATCAACAAACAGTAATTCGTGTATAGAAAATGATTTTTAAGAGTTTTTGTCAAATGTTTATAATATAGTATAGATTTATCAATATTGTACTGATTATTTTCAACAATATTTATTAAAATTATTAAATCACGTAAAAAATTATGATTACTTTTTTTTCATCAAATATGAATTTTTAATTATGTCTTGTTGGTGTTTCAATTACTTTTGTTTTACAAAATAATATTCTTGTAAATATACAACTGAAGTATATATATACTATGGTATTTCCATGATAAAACAAAGAAAAATAAACGACAGTTTTTCTTTTATAAATACGTAAAATAGTTTGTCGGTCTCCTTTTGTAGCTCAAACGTCATTCCTTCTATTTTTGATATCCATAAACGACGCCCTTGTAATCTGAACGGTCAAATGCGGGTTCTTGAGTGCAAACACATCAAATCTAGTTGCGAAAACTATATCCTCCATGTTCTTAACAACAAAACTCAATGCAGTATCCTTCAAGCTGCGGTTACAAGTAGTGTCTGAAATCTCTAGAATGTCGAGCGCATTACTTGCGTTGAGGATTTCAAGCATTCGATTCTCACAGAACTTCTGTAAGAATGTGATTTCGTACTTGTCTGCTGCGATGGATAATGAATACAGATGTTTATCGAGCTTTTCTTTGCACAAGTCACCACTATATAGGAATTCTAACAGTGATTCAACTTCTTCATGATTCAGTTCAGGGAGGGTAATCATGTCATTTGGTGCGGCTTTGCATCCATCTGAGTCCAACATGTTTTTGAATATGTTCGACCTCGTTGCCTGATCGCAAAAAAGATTATGAAATAAAAGATAAGTACATTTTCGAACGGAAATTTTGTCGAATCGGTTGCTTGATGTTATACTTGCAATTAAATGATATTACCCTTCCAAAGTTATTTGGGCCTTTTTGGGCCCATTAGCACACATTTTTTTAGCCCGAAACACAAATCACATTGCAATGCCCAAAGCCTAAAACAAAAGGAATTATCTTATACTGTATTATAAAGCATTTGAAAAAAACTTTTAGAAATCATTTTTTATATATGAAGTACTATATATTGATGTATATTACTTAAAATTCAAGATTACAAGTAAATTATATATAAGTACAACTTATTAAAGCTCCATGTTTGAATTCGTGTAACTAACTGCGGATAAACATAATCAAATAGAGGATAAACATCTCATTTTAAAATATAAAAAATCTAAAATATAATTATGATAATACTCGAATTCTATCAAAATTATAATTATTATCTTCATAAGAAAATTATATTATTGAACCAAATATAAATTACTTCGTTATTGAACCTAAATTAAAATATAATAAAAAAATAAAAAATTACACAAAAACAGAAATTTTAAATAGTTAATTTGATACTAACATCGATATATTTTTGTCAAATTTTTATGATATCTTCAAATTTATATTTTATTCAAAAATAAAAACATCATTGTTTTTTCAAAATCACATAAGACTATACTAGAACATCGACTGAGATACAGAATAAAATAAAATATTAAAATTAAGATATATCTCGCTGCATTACACAAATACCACGCTTCATCTCAAATATATTTGGGTTTCCTTTTTTCTATTTAAATATTAGTTATTATATTTACTTTCTACCTGTTTAACTCAATTAAAAAGTGTTATCTCATATCTTCAATCCAACTACTTGACACTATTTATAACTAAATCATTTTTAAATTAATATTTTAAATATTTAAAAATTTTAAAATTTTAAGAGTGTTTAGGATTGCTTATTTGAAACAACTTATGTTTTTTCTACAAAAACACTTATCAGTTTATTATAAGTCAGAAAAGTTTAACTTTTTCAAAAACTTTTTATTACTGGTTTGACACCGATATAAGTTGTTTACCAAACACTAAAAAAATGTTTATTACCGATGCCACACCGGAATAAATCAATAAGTTGTTTTTATAAGCAATCCCAAACACCTACTTAATTAAAAAAGATACATATATAGGAAGAGAGTAGTACCAGTAAAGCTCTATGTGCAGGTATGGAGGCAGCATCATTACCAGGCTTGATAAGAATGTCTGTATGAATCTGATCTCTGAATGCATCTATAAATCCACTTAAAAATCCCAATTTCTGATTACTTTCTTCTTCCATTTTCTTCATCTCCTTCAACCATTTCAAAGAACTCAAAAAACCCTGAAATTTTTTCAAGATTTTCTTTAATTCTCATCACCAACTTCATTTGACTTTTTTGGTCAACTTTCGATCGTTCATCGAATGAAAGAATAACCATGGATGATGCTCGTAATCCGAAAACCCTAATAGTTGCAGAAAATTGAAGAAGAAGAAGAAGGCTTGTTTTGACTTTTTAGTCAAATTTGATCATTTGATCATAACGATTATTAGCCAATCATGATTTTTTTTTATTAACGTGGATATCCAATCTGTCATGCGAGCCGACCACCTGCTTTGCAGATAGTCCGGAGTCACCGCATTTGAATCTATGTGGTCACAAGAGGATTTTTATTCCTCCTTGGATTTGAACTCGAGACCTCCTGGTACTTTTAACCTTTGGAGCCAAGCTCAAACCAATCAGACACCACCCTTGTGGTTATCATAACGATTATTAGCCAATCATGAGAATTTTAGTTGCATGATCAATTGAAGATAATTAAGACAACTCATGTATACGTTGATTAAAATTAATGACTAAAACCAATTAATTCATAAATTATTACCTTCGAAGAACCGGGTACGGAAGTTTCGCCCGAAAATTTCCCGGAAACCTTATGATCATCGATCTTATTTGTCATGGCGATAATACTTTTGGCACCTTCATAACAAGCTACACATATGGTGTTTCGTGGAGGCCTCAAATTATACGGCATCGTGCTACATACCGAGCAATCCATTTCCGTTAATCTTTTCCCAAAACAAGCGTACGTACTCCAAACGATCACGAAAACGAAAACCTCGGAAGAATCGAAGATCACAACTTAATAGAATGAATGGAGATGAAACGAAGAAGCAGACATGAAGTATTGTTTAAGAGATGGTGTGTTGAAGGTTGCTTTTTGAAGTTATATACTACGAAAGAATCTACAAAAGGAAGCAATTATAAAATTGCTTCCGTTATAAGCATATATTAATTAAATATTACATTAAAATTAATAAATTTTGCCTATTGGAAATATAATGCTTCATAAAAGGTAACCATTTTTTTTTTATTAACCTCATATCCAACCCGCTATACGAGCTAACTAATTTCAGGACGATCATCTGATTTGCAGATAGCCCGAAGTCACCGCATTTGAACATTCGTGGCCACAAAGGGATTTTTATTATTCATCGGATTTGAACATGTGACCTCCTGATACTTTTGATCTCTGAAGCCAAGCTCAAACCAATCAGGCGCCACCCTTATGGTTAAGGTACCCATTTTTTGCTATATTTTTTCCTACTTTGTTCCATATTATTTTTATTTTTAGGATAATTTTATAAAATTGGAAATTATGAAACTACCCTTGACTTTATTTTATTAACTTGGATATCCAATCTGCTATGCAAGCCGACTAACCATCTGTTTTGCGGGTAGCCCGGAGTCACTGCATTTGAACCTCTGTAGCCACAAGATGATTTTTATTCCTCCTTGTATTTAAACTTGTAACCTCCAGTCACTTTTGATTTTTGGAGTACAAACTCAAACTAATCAGGCATCACCCTTGACTCTTCTGGTCTCCAAAATCCATTTACATGGATTCTATTTATTTGTACCATTTTTTTAAATGCATTTTCAAGTAAAGTTATGTATTATGGTACCACTTTAGGTGTTGAGGTTGTAATCGATGAGATTTATTTGTTTTACCATCCAAAGCATCGACATATTTAATAAATAATAAAACGTAAATATAAAACTATGTCTTCGAATACTGATCACTACAATTTTTAATAGATTCTAAAAAAATAGCGTTTTTTTTAGTAAATATTGCTTATTTTGGCTAAAATATCGTTACCCGAAAGAGTTCGTTTCCGTTGTATGCGTTTTGACGTAAATGCCCTTTTCGGATATTCATTTAACATGAATATGGTAACAAATGGAAATCATAAGTAGTAAATATTATGTACCATTATTTTCAAATAAGGGTTTGAAGAGGGGCAAATGGAATAATAGTTGGTGGAGGGTAAAATTGTCAAATACTATGAAAGGTAGGGGTGGGTCCATGTCAATGGAGTGGTTAGAGAAACCTAAAAGAGATTAAAAGGAAGTGGAAAAAGACATCCCAGCCTTATCACAGCAAACATGTGGTAAGCAAAAGCACGTCCTTAATTACTCCCTGAACTTTTCAGAATTTTCATAATCAGTCCCTGTTTTTTAAAATATTATCATTTAAGTACAGCCTGTCAACTTCAAACAATTCCTAATGATTAGAGTAACTTCGAGATTCGTTTTGTTTAATAATGTATGGTGCATCATGATGGATTTACGTGTGATGTTGATTGTAACACCAACAAGCAATGTATATGACGTTTAGAAACAGATAGAAGATCCGGATGAGATTTTTTTTTTTAATATTCTCAAAATCAACATCCAGATTACACTTTGAGTTTACAGACTTATAATTGCACTAATTTTTATTAACAGAAAAATTCTTTACAAAAGATGAATTTATCTTTATCTTATTTGTTAATTAAATTCACAAACTTTAATATAAAAATATATTATTACAGCAACGTATAAATTGGTTTGAACTGTTTAAAAGTCTATTATTTTTATAACATGTTAAAGTGTTTAATTTAATAAAAATCAGAACATTGTTTTAATAAATAGTTTTATAATCATTTTTTAAAATATATTAAATATTTATCAAATTTAAATAGTAAGCAAAAAATATATGGATCAACATAAAACGTTTCTCTAAGCTTTCAACCAAAAGGGCAAAATGTAAATATAACGAAATTTCTCGTAATTCCGATTTAATGTAAAAATAAGACGATGATTTTTATTTTCTGTTAATGAAATAAACATTCAATTCTTTCTATTCCGTACTTTTCCCCCTTATAAGTAGGTCATCAATTTACATCATATCAATTAATGTAACGGTCGTTTACCTGATATTTGCCTGGATAAGCATTTATGAAGTCAAATTACCTTACTGGAAGAATATGATACGGACAATGAATCTTACCTGGTAAGAGGGATACACGAGGTAAGAGCGTGGCAAAGACCCATAGTCTTACTCAGTAAGCGAGGACGAAGACTCTTATCACAGTTAGCGCCTACTGGACAAATTATTGTATATGATACAGTTTTTGTTGACTAAAATCTTACCCGGTAAGTAAGTGATAGTGTTGAATTTTATTGACTTGATAAACGGTCCCTTAAATTCCATCATTTTTCACGTAATTAATATTATAAAATAATTTAACAACCATTTTATCAATAATTTCAAAATCAACTAATTATTCATTTATTAATCAAAATATATTAAATGAAAATATGAAATGAAGCCTATGAATCTTAGGCCCACAACTATGACACCGATGACCGATCGTACCGTATTACAATTTAATTGGGCCAAAAGATATTATAAGCCCATTTCAATACAAGTTGTACTGTATTGGATTTTTCTTGGAGAAAATGAATTAAATATTTAATTTGACATATCATTTCATATATTTTGTTTTTAATCACGGATCTTTTACCAAACGCTACCAGGTAAGTATTTGCTGATAAAAATATCATTATAATTTATCTTATCATGTAACATTTTCGGATTCTCGACTATTAAATAAATTATTGGTAAGTGTTTTTTCCCCGTAAGGTGGCGTTTGGTTCGCAGATTCTGGAGAAATCTGATGGAATTCTAATGTTGAATTTCATTGACTAAATTTCATTATCTCGTTTGGTTCATTATTTTTAATGAAAGAGATCTTCAAAATTCTATAAATTTCACAAATAAATGAATTTAATATTTCTTAGCAACTACATGATATTTTGATGGAATGAAATCTTCATTATACCAAATGTCTTTAACCTAATATATTATAATCTCATAAAACTCAATATGACCATTGTCAACCACTTTCGACCACTATCGATCTGAATCACCACGGACCACCACCACCGACTACCGCCGATCTGAACCACCGCCACCACCAACTACCACCGGTCTGAACTACCACCGACGACCACCGATCTGAACCACCGCCGACCGCCACCACCGACGACCACCGATCTAAACCATCGTCGACCGCCACCATCGACCACCACCAATATGAACCATCGTCTACCGCAACCATCGACCACCACCGATCCGAACCATCGTCGACCGCCACCATCGACCACCACTGATCTAAACCACCGCCGACTACTATCGATCTAAACAACCATCGACATTGTTGATCTGAGCCACCACTGATTTGATTCATTGTTAATCTTAACCACCGCCGATGACCGCCATCTGAACCACAATGGACCACCACCAATTTGAACTACTGTCGACCATCGCCATCTGAACCACCAAAGACCACCATCGATCTGAACCACCGCCAACTACTACCGATCTGAAGCACCGCCAATCTAAACCACCATTGACCATCACCGATCTGATCCATCGTCGATCTGAACCACATCCGATCATCATCACCTGAACCACCATCGATTTATATCACTGTCAACCACCGACGACTACCATCAATCTGAATCACCGTCGGGCGACCACTAGCGATTTAAACAACCACCACCTATCTGAACCACCACTGACCACCTCCATCTGAACCATTACGGACCAACACCGATCTAAACCACCGTCCATTTAGTAACGTCGTTTGGCTTATGATTATATTTGGGTTGTGTATTTTATATTGTTTTATATATTAAATAATTATTTTATTAAAGTATTTGTAGTTTTAGAAAAATTAGAATTTCCAAAAAAAAAAAGACATTTTGTTCATTTACCAATATTTTATTTAAATTCTAAAATGACATTTTGTACACCAAACAGACAGATCCCAATTTCTTAATAGATTTCATTCAAATGTCTGCTAACCAAACAAGTGGTCAAACCTGACAACATTTCATTCTAAAACCTTCAAAATCAAATTCGTTTAACAGATTACATTTCATCCAAAAATATTTCATGAACCAAACGTCAAATTAAGTGTTTAGCAGGTTAAAATCTTATTCCTTATTTATTAGATAAAAATATTGGTCTTTATTATGCTTTTTACAGAGTAAAATTCAAAGTTCTTGACATACTGATATATCATATAAACATAACGACCCATTACTCACCGTACATCGTTCACAAAATAAAAATGTTAAACGGGTAAATTTAATTTGAGAAAAAAAGTAATAAATACCATATTCTTTAAGGAATAACATTTCCATTAATTATATAATTGTAATATTAATTAATAATTTACAAGCGAGGGAGGGAGAGATAATTCACTACATTATTCTAGAAACCATAGTAGTAGACTTGCGACCGAGGAACCATCATCCCATTCGTTGGATTAAAGGCCATCGCCTATTCCTTGAGCAAATTGGACCTTAAGTCTCTACTTCTGATGGTTATGATCATCCCCACGCTTTTCATAATGGTGGTACAGCGCCGCACCGGATAACACCGCCAATGTCAAGGCTTGTGCATGCATCCTATAATTAAATGGCATACACAAATATATTAAAATTAATATAACAACTACATAAATATAAATGGCTTATTTCCATTATTACTTTGTATTAAACATTGTCCTGAAAATTAATATACATATATATATATACATATATATATATATATATTATTAGGTTTGATCCTGTGTATTTAATTTAAAAAAATTAAATCATGTCAGGAACTTATCTTACAGATATGAATGATCATCAAAAGTACGATATTACTTCAGACTTAAACTCTTAAAATAACTATGAAGTATAACTCTGAAAAATGACTCTTTAGAAAATTAAATGTAAATAGAAATAAAACCTGGCATGAATGAGCCTAAGGCTTGGCTTAAATGGAGCTCTCTTAGCACCTGTGTAAGCCATTGATGCTCCAACTGCTGTTGCCCATATTGTTCCTACACTCACATTATAAAAACATCAACATTTAGTCATATGATTTTATGCCGAAATCATTTTTACAAACTAACAACAGAGTGGGACCAGTAGCTCAGAGGATTAGTGATTATAACTGATCAAGATGCAGTTAATATCATCTAATCAGATAATTCAGCCGATCTCGATTCAGTTAACAGATAAAAAGATAGAGATGAGAGTTATAAATTACCAATGCTAGCGAGCTTGTGCTCTGAGACCCACGATTGCACAGCGTCCATTTGAATCTGATAAGAAACTTGAATGATTTTAAGTAATTGTGTTGGTTTGAGGATGGATGGATGGAAGTGTGGTTGGTATATATAGGAACTCAGTATTTACATTTTGGCCCCTTGTTTTTCTTTATTGACTTTTTAACTTAGAGTTTCAAGGAAAAGTGTTGGAGAAATTAATTTATATATACAACCCCTTTACTTTTTATTATTATACATATTTCATCACTTCTCTAAAAACTGGTGGTTGTTGTATTCAAAGTAAAAACAGTGGGCAGTTTGTTGAAAAGATCTCCTGGTTTCCATATTTGCGCATATATATATATATATATATATATATATATATATATATATATATATATATATATATATTTGGGTCTCACACTGTAGATTCTTGGGATCCATTTAATCTACTTCTACTTTTCGGATGCAATGTATATTAAAACAATCGTAGATCGAACCAGATTAAAATAAACAAAATTTGGTGTGTTTATCGTACGTTTATTCAGTGTTACTTGTTTTATTGGATGAATAAAAGGATTAATAATCATACCCGTTAAGAGTATAGTAAGGATCGAGAATCTTACTCGGTAAGTGTTCACATGTTTATCGACAATTCGTTTTGATGGCCGAGAACTGTTACCCGATAAGATAAGTGAGAGCAATGACTTTTGTCGATGATAAATTATTTTTTAAGATAAATAATACACATAAGTTGGGGTTCTTATGAAAACTGTATTTCTGCTCGAAGTAGAGAAAGTGTTTACATACATCTTATTTCTTATATCCCGTTTTTGAGATATTTAGATGATACGTTTGTGTGACTCTAGAGCATAAACAATAGAACTAACGTAGTAAATTCTGAATTAGTTTCGAGGTGTGATCTAGAAAGTGATTGTAGTACTGTAATTACACGTGATTTCAGATGGTGCAAATTAAAATCCCTTTCACTCTCTTTCAAATTTCTGGTAACAAAAACAAAAAAAAAAAAAAAAAAAAACTCCATTCAGGTGTTGCAAATAGGGGTGCTCATGAGTTGGGTTGATTGGGTTGAAGACATTTGAACAACCCAACCCAATGTTTACGGTCTGAAAATTTCTTAATCCAACCCAACCCGTACGGGTTGGTCGGATTGATACTTTGGTCCATTAAAATATTATTCTAATATTGAATATGTTATTTCTCTATCATAATTTCTTTTTCATTATCAACCATTTAATACAACTTATCCATATTTCTTACGTATATCACATTCAGTTAATTTCTTCAATTTACATATATATGTCCACATTTACTTAACATATATACGAATGAGTTATATAGGGATGTGAATAGATTGAAAATACGTGTATATGAAAAGCATACATGATAGTGTAATTATATAATGTATATATTAATAGAAATTCAACAATCATATTAAATCCAAGAAATAAAAGAATATCGGGTTCATCGGGTTGGGTTGGGTTCAAATATTAGTAACTCAATACCTACAGTTTGACAATTTTACAACTCGATTAGACATCGGGTTAGGTTATTTCGTGTTGGATTGGCTTGGATTAATCAGGTTTGTCGGGTTTTTGATCACCCCTACTTGCAAAAACCATTTTTATGTTAATTTTAATTAAACCGCATTTATTTTATAGTTTTTTTGTTTTATTTTATACTATAATGATTCACTATCTGTTTTGTGCAAAAAATTTTGGATTCATCTATGACGTCTTACCAAGCTTATCTATTATCCAACATTCTCATTGTTTATTGGTGACATAAATTTGTCCAATATGTTAGTATGTTACAAAAAATAAAAAACGACATCACTTCTAACGTCCAAAATAACACTTAAATCCAATTTTAAAATGTTATAAAAATTACTGATAGTTCATAGACTTAGGGACACTTACCCGGTAAGCATTTATCGGTAAAATTCAACATTACCGCTTACTTAACGGGTAAGATTTTATTCGCTAAAACGCATTGTATGCAACAATTTATCCCGGTAAGCGCTAACCATGGTAAGAGTCTTCGTTCTCACTTACTGGGTAAGATTCTCGATTTTTGCCTTCGCTATTACCGGATAAGATTATTAGCCCTTGTCATATTCATCCGGTAAAGTAAAGTGACTTGGTAAGCGTTTACCCGGGTAATCGTTTGGTAAACGACACCTTACTTGTACTCCAGTTTTCTCAAAATAAATATTCACAATGAAAATGATGCAAATTTTAAAATGTATAATTATTACACGTTTTGAGTAAGTAAATGGCATTTTACCCTTCATAATATATGAAAAATCTTTTATTAATCATATGATCAAGGATATACTGGAAAAGTGCACAGTTAGCTTTGAAACTAGACACACGTCGTTTTTATATAAATTGTAACCTAAATGGTTTTATTAGACTTATTATCAAATGTTTGGTTCTTGATTTGGTTATTTGAGTTTGAGTATATTGAATAAACTTCGAATATGCTCAATACCCGGGGCACAGGTGTTGAGAAGCCCCCGTGATGACTAAAATAGTCATGGCATTCTGGTAAAGGCTACTACCAAACCACATAGAGAATGTTGGATGCATCATATGTACCGAATACCAGATAGAGCCGAATATCAGATACCTATGGTCACCACGGAATGTGATGATGTAGTGCCCGACACTTTCATTCCATTATGACGCATGATTGGACTGATCATCCATCGGGAACAATGTATCCTAATGATACAGATGACCTTTTTACCTTAAATATTTTTTATTATATAACTCTCAATTTTTAGAATTTACACTTAACTTGATTCCACTTGTATCGTAATATTTTCTTTCAGTTATTCATTCATATTTGATATTCTTGTGCTATGTTTGTTTTGTTTTACCTCGACAAGTTGAGGATCTAACCTAGCTGCATGATGAAGGGTTGAGATGACTTAGGATACTAAAAGACTAACGGTTGAATATAGTGTGTTTGCTATGTTATTATGTGAATATGTTAGTGATACGAATTATAATGGTTGTATTTTTTTTTTTGGGAGTTCCATTAGAGCTTAGTACTGTAAATGGTAGACTTTTAATCCGTTTTCGGTTGTGACATGTCTCATCTTAAGTTTAGTATGATATCAAAATAAAAATATAGACATTTGATTTAAAAACAGAGGGAGTAACAAAATTATAAACCCAGAAACAGGTGGTGCATGGTTGTCGTCAACTCGTACCATAAGGTGTTGGGTTAAGTCCATGCCCCCTATGCCCTGGACGACACACGTGCTATAATGACCGGGGCAAAGGGTCGCGTTCTGCTTAAATAGTAGATATAAGTAATTAAAAATAAAATACCAAATAAA